CTCTGGTTACCAATAATAAACTTTCATCTCTATGCATTTACCTATTCTAGGTATCTCATATATATGAGATAATATATTAGATGACTTTTTGCATCTGGCTTATTTTACTCAGCCTAATTTTTCAAAGTTTATCTCTATTATGGCATCAGCACTTCATTTCTCTTTATAGGTGATTGAAATTCCATTGTATGCAGATACCACATTTTGTTTATGAATTCATCAATTGATGGGCATTCACATTGCTTCCAACTTTGGCTTTTGTAAGCCTTTGAGATATCTTCACATTTTAAGTATCATTTCCAAGACAGTATGGGAACTTGAGCAGTTATGGTCGCACCAAGAAGTGAGTGCTCCAGGCCTTTTTGTACCTGAGAGCCTGGCTGAATTCAACCCAGCAAGCACCTGCCCTAGTACTGACTGACCCGATCTCTGTAATCTCAAATTCCTCCATGTTGAATCTTTCTGTAGCAAAAACTAGGTTTATTGTTATGGGAGAGGTGCAACACGTGGACCTCTCCCTTCCATGTTTTTCATAACTAAACATCCTGAATGTACTCACTTTAGTGATTGAAATGAACAATGCATTTGAGAAACAATAAAGTAATTTACAAGATACTATGTAAAGACATCAACGGAATGTTAAGAAAGAGCTGGTCATTTGCCTCAGGGTGTGGTATCACCCTGTACTTTGAATACTGTAATTAATTTGACTTCAGTAACGGTCTCCTGAGCAGCTTTTATGTAGTATGCTATTTCTTCGGTCCAGAATAGAATCTGCTCTATGAGGTCATCTGCTTCCAGAAGCATCATTCATCTTTTCTTTTCTCTGTGCCCTCAGGGCTGGATCACATCCTGAATATTAATTTCAGAAAACATTGCTTTGTTCTTCGTGCTTCAAGTGATCATGTTAGTAACCCCACATTTCCACATGTGCCCCGCCCCCACTCATTCTTGGACCTGGATGGTCCCTTTCAGATCTCATGTTTTCTATTAAATCCTGAACTTCTTTTTATTTCCTCTATTTTTATGAAGAACAGATCCTCCTCTTCTCTAGACATCACTCCTTAAAATTCCGTTCTCACTATTGGGAACACCAACACCTTCGGGGATGATTTCCAGAACAGAGGTGCTGTTTTCTATTCACAGGTGTGAAGCGCCGACCAAGTGAGGTGTTGTATATTCTAATCACTCAATAATAGTCAAAGCATTCTCCCCAATCATCCTGGGCCTTGTGAGATAATGCAGAAGGAAAATTAATGCAGTGAGGCTGCTACCACTCACTTTCTAATTCTTTTTCAGGGATCACAACTGTATTGACAATGACGACCATCAACACACACCTTCGAGAGACGTTGCCCAAAATTCCCTATGTCAAAGCCATTGACATGTACCTCATGGGCTGCTTCGTCTTTGTATTCTTGGCCCTTTTGGAGTATGCTTTTGTGAACTAC